ACAGGCCTGCATTTTCTTTCGCCCCTGCGTGCCCGTGGCAATCCACACCTGTGGGCATGTCAGGCACATGGCGTGGATAATGGGCTAAGTGAGGGAAAAAGCCCGTTGCTCTTATGAAAGAGACAGCTAGCCAGTCTGAAGTGTTTGGCAAATATTCTCTGGGCACTAATAAAATCATTGCAGCAAAGCATTGCCCTGCTGTGGTAAGTGAATTTTAAATCTTCACTAGCCTTTTAAGGCTTTGAAGAGCAGAACCGAGGGCTGCGTCTTTGCACGTGTTCTGAAATCACTGCCATAGCCCATCCATGCCCCTTAAACTGGGAGGAGCACCAAGCCTTCTACCATGATCACTGTTGTTTGTACCGCTGTAGTATTAACTCTTTGATGAGTTCCCATCAGTGAAAGGCAGTAAAGTGGCACCTACTGAGCCCTGTGGTGAATTCCTCCGTAGTTAAATATCCATTCCTGTCGGTATCGAGACCATCAAAGACCAGCTCCAGCTCCGCTGCGCTGCATGGGAAATCCTCCTTCTTCAGTTTCTAAGACCAGTGCAAACGTCTGATTAGATAGAGATGTGATTGACCTCATGAAGGAGCTCAGGTGTAGGGACCTGTTTGCCCATTGTGAAGGCACTGTGCTTAAAGCAACAAGGTGTGATCGCGGCTTTAGAAATCTGGTTTGTTGTATTGCTTGGGCCTGATTCCACTTCCTCACCTGTTTTACACCATTAATTTCAAGAGAGGCAGCTTGATCCAGTGCAGAGGGCACTGGCCTGGGTCTCAGGAGGCCTGACTTCAATTCCTGGCTCCACCACTGATATGCTGAGTCATTTCACCTCACTGTGCCTCTGTTCCCCCCTTCTCTATTGAGACTGGAAGCTCCTTGGGCTTCCAGTCTAAATAAACACTGTAAGTGTGAAGTATCGAGACCAAAGCTGAACAATAACCAGTGGTTACATTTTGTCCTTCCCTAGCACTGCCCATCCAAGGGCCTCCCGTATTAATTAGCTCTCCTAGTGACCTGTTTTAGACCTGTTTTACAGTGGGGGAAATTGAGGCATGAAGTGATGTGACTTGCCAAAACCGTGAGTCCGTGGCAGCCCCCTGGTCTAACCACAAGCCAACATGGCCTCCCTTGCTCAATGTTTTTTGGCTCAGCCTTTACTTGGGTGATTTGCTGAACATGGCCTGACACTGAGAGGTGTTAGTTGTCCTCAACTTGTACTGAGGGGAGCAGAATACCTTAGAGAACCAGACATTATATGATTAATAGTTTCATATATCTATATCTGCAACACAATAATGATGATTAATAATTACATAGCACATGTCAACCTTAGATTTCAAAGTGCTTTATGAAGGCAGGAAAGTTGCATTCTCCCCATTTTACAGATGGAGAAACTGAGGCACAGAGCAACGTGACTTTCCCACCGCAGCTCAATAGCAGACCCAGAAACAGGACTGAGTCCCATTCCCACATGCTGTCCATCAGGGCAGTCCTGCTCTCAGTTATACCTCCTTGGCTTCTATGGGCTTTTCACTAATGCCCAAATTTGGCCCAGTGTGGTCATTGCATAAACCTGCAATTTACCTGCATGTCGGCACGTGTGATGAAACCTTTCTGGTCCTTGTCGCATTCCTGGAAGAATTCCTGAACCTTTTCCATTATTTCGGGTGGGAACGGCTCCTCCTCCGGGATCGGGGATGTCTTTGCACCACCAAACACGTCTCGTAGCTGCTTTCGTCGGCTTGAGCCCAGCTTCCTGGGCCTCCTCTGCTCCTCCATGGCTCTTTCAATGTGTGGCTCAACCCTTTGAAGAGCGAAATCAGAGGGCACCGTGCTCCCCTTCATCTTCTCAAGATCTCTTAGCAACAGGCTTTTAATTAGATTAGCTCAGAGGGTCATAGAACTCTTACACTGAGAGGGGGGACAAGCCTGTTTTGCTATTGATGGGAAGAAAAGGGGAATGGACTACGTCTGAATTAGAATAGCCTAATGGGGACTGAATGGCTGAGGGTTGGCAATGGGACAGTCTCTGATTGCCCAGTGCAGACCTGGTCCTGATCAGTATGGAGTAGAACATGTCGCCCCGTGTGATTGTGGTCCCTGTGTGAGAGGCTAGGTCTCAACCCAGTGGCTTCTTCACTGCAGCTGGCAAACCTAGGCCTAAGGGACTTGCTCAGTCACACAGGACATTCAAGGCAGAGCTGGGAATTAGACACAGATCTCCTGACTCCCAGGCTCAATGATTTACTCCCAAGACCATCCTACCACTCTGCCGACACAGACAGAGGACTGCAAGTTCGTCTACACAGCAGGAAAAAACCCTCGGCAGCGAGTTTCAGAGCCCAGGTCAAGTGACTTGGACTTGCGGAGCGTGCACTGCGGGGCAAAATATAGCAGTGTAGATGTTCCCACTGGGGCTGGAGCCTGGGCTCTGAAACCCAGTGAAGGGAAAAGTCTCAGAGCCCAGGTTCAAGCCCAAGCCAGAATAACTACACTGCTGTCTTTAGACCGGTAGCGCAAGCCCAAGTCAGCTGACCTGGGCTCTGAAACTTGCTGCTGTGGCGTGGCTTTTTTTTTTTGCAGTGTAGATGTATCGAGGGTCCCTGATTTGGTCCCATTGCCCAAGGCCCTGCTTCAGCCTCTCTCTTTGAACACTGTGAATCTTAGGGCTTGTCTACACTTACCGGAGGATTGACGCACGGCGTTCGAAGAAGACCCACTACATCGACCACAGATTGCTCTCCCGTCAACTCCTGTACTCCTCCGGATTGAGAAGAGTAAGGGGAGTCGATGGGAGAGCATCGGCATTGCATAGTGTGGCCCCCGCGGTAAGTAGATCTAAGCTACGTCGACTTGAGTTACGCTATTCACGTAACTCAAATTGCATAGCTTAAATTGACTTTCCCTGTAGTGTAGACAAGGCCTTAGTGGTGTACAAATGAACAGCTTAGGACTGGCTTCCTTTGCTGAGGTTCGTGAACAGTTATGTGAGTTTGGTCTGAATTCTGAGTGAAACTGGCTCTCCTGAGGGCTTCAGAATGAAACGAATGTAGCATTGCCTCTCATGGGAGTTCAAAACCCCCAAGTCAGGCCACCAAAAATCAGGAAATTGGCTTAAAAAATAATGAGATTTTAGATATATAAATTTGATAATCTTGGGAGAGGTTTAAAGCGCACTCAGGTCATGTTTCCAAGCTTGTCACGACTGCTGTCAGGGCTAAAAACTTACTTTAAAAAAATGATAGCTGAGAGTCCTACAAAAAGTGGAAACTCGGTCAAATTACAAAGGATGAATATAAACAAATAACACAAGTATGTAGGGACAAAATTAGAAAGGCCAAGGCACAAAATGAGATCAAACTAGCTAGGGACATAAAAGGAAACAAAAAAACATTCTACAAATACATTAGAAGCAAGAGGAAGACCAAGGACAGAGTAGGCCCGTTACTCAATGAGGAGGGAGACAATAACAGAAAATGTGGAAATGACAGAGGTGCTTAATTACTTCTTTGTTTTGATTTTCACCAAGAAGGTTGGTGGTGATTGGATGTCTAACGTAGGGAATGCCAGTGAAAATGAGGTTGGATCAGAGTCTAAAATAGGGAAAGAACAAGTCAAAAACTACTTAGACAAGTTAGATGTCTTCAAGTCACCAGGGCCTGATGAAATGCATCCTAGAATACTCAAGGAGCTGACTGAGGTATCTGAGCCATTAGCAATTATCTTTGAAAAGTCATGGAAGACGGGAGACATTCCAGAAGACTGGAAAAGGGCAAATATACTGTCCATCTATAAAAAGGGAAATAAGGACAACCTGGGGAATTACAGACCAGTCAGCTTAACTTCTGTACCCGGAAAGATAATGGAGCAAATAATTAAGCAATCAATTTGCAAACACCTAGAAGATAATAAGGTGATAAATAACAGTCAGCATGGATTTGTCAAGAACAAATCATGTCAAACCAACCTGATAGCTTTCTTTGACAGGGTAACAAGCCTTGTGAATGGGGGGAGTGGTAGATGTGGTCTATTTCGACTTTAGTAAGGCTTTTGATATTGTCTTACATGATCTTCTCATAAACAAACTAGGGAAATACAACCTAGATGGAGCTACTATAAAGTAGGTGCATAACTGGTTGGAAAATCATTCCCAAAGAGTAGTTATCAGTGGTTCACAGTCATGCTGGAAGGGCATAATGAGTGGGGTCCCATAGGGATCAGGTCCGGTTCTGTTCAATATCTTCATCAATGATTTAGATAATGGCATAGGGAGTACACTTATAAAGTTTGCCATGATACCAAGCTGGGAGAGGTTCCAAGTGCTTTGGAGGTTAGGATTAAAATTCAAAATGATCTGGACAAACTGGAGAAGTGGTCTGAACTAAATAGGACGAAATTCAATATGGACAAATGCAAAGTACTCCACTTAGGAAGGAACAATCAGTTGCACACATACAAAACGGGAAATGACTGCCTAGGAAGGGGTACTGCGGAAAGGGATCTGGGGTCATAGCGGATCACAAGCTAAATATGAGTCAATGGTGTAACGCTGTTGCTAAAAAAGCAAACATCATTCTGGGATGTATTAGCAGGAGTATTGTAAGCAAAACACAAGAAGTAATTCTTCCGCTCTACTCCACACTGATTAGCCCTCAGCTGGAGTATTGTCCAGGTCTGGGCGCCACATTTCAGGAAAGATGTGGACAAATTGGAGAAAGTCCAGAGAGGAGCAACAAAAATGATTAAAGGTCTAGAAAACATGACCTATTGAAGATTGAAAAAATTGGGTTTGTTTAGTCTGGAGAAGAGAAGACTGAGAGGGGCAGGGCCGGTTCCAGGCACCAGCCCACCAAGCTTGTGCTTGGGGCGGCACCTGGAGGGGGGCGGCGCGGTGCTCCGGCCGCCGGGGAGAGCGGGGCCACAGCCGGGCTCGCCGCCCTCCCCCCGGGGCTCCGGCCGCGCCCCCCCCCCAGGGGGGGGGGGCAGCCGGAGGCTTTTTTGCCTGGGGCGGCAAAAAAGCCAGAGCCGGCCCTGGAGAGGGGACCTGATAACAGTTTTCAAGTACATAAAAGGTTGTTACAAGAAGGAGGGAGAAAAATTATTCTTCTTAACCTCTGAGGATAGGACAAGAAGCAATGGGCTTAAATTGCAGTAAGGGCGGTTTAAGTGGGCCATTAGGAAAAACTTCCTAACTGTCAGAGTGGTTAAGCACTGGAATAAATTGCCTAGGGAGGTTGTGGAATCTCCATCATTGGGGATTTTTAAGAGCAGGTTGGACAAACACCTGTCAGGGATGGTCTAGATAATACTTAGTCCTGCCTTGAGTGCAGAGTCTGGACTAGATGACCTCTCGAGGCCCCTTCCAGTTCTATGATTCTCACATAATAATCACAGAGTTCTGGAGCTGGGCAGTCAGAAAAACACCAAATACCACAAGACTTGTGATAGATTCACGAGAGTAGGCAACGCTGGGAGAGTCCACATGGAATTTTGGTGGCTTCAGCTCCCCAACCGAGTCAAAAGTCAAAAGCTGGCAGTTTGGGCGGAGTTTTATCTTGAGTTTATTAGGTTGATTTGAAACTGAAAGTTAAAGCAAAACCAAGAGGCTGATCTCATGGTGTCGTTATTAACTATACTCACTGTTACCGCCCCCGAATATGTGCTAGATAAGGCAGGAAAGTTACAATGGAAGGTTCCTGCCTAAAGAGCTGACAGGTTAGCTTTAGACTGACTTAACGAGAGGGGATAGCAAAGATGAGGGTTACAGCATCATGTGGATTCTGAGGGCCTGATTCTCAATTGGTCCATTCCCACCCTTGGGGAAGGGATGACGAGGATGGGGCAAAGGTGGCTTCAAATCCTGTTTGTGCTCCTTGTAAGCTTTGGCCACACGGGGGCCTTCCAAGTTTTCAGAATGGAGAAAGGTAAATAGTGGTGTCCCCCAGGGGTCTGTCCTGGGCCTATTTAACATAGTCATAAACAATCTGGAAAAAGGGATAAAAATTTGCAGATGATACAAAACTATTCAAGATAGTTAAGTCCCAGGCAGACTGCGAAGAGCTACAAAAGGATCTTACAAAACTGGGTGACTGGGCAACAAAATGACAGATGAAATTTAATGTTGATAAATGCAAAGTAACACACATTGGAAAACATAATCCTATATACAATGATGGGGTCTAAATTAGCTGTTACCACTCAAGAAAGAGATCTTGGAGTCACTGTGAATAGTTCTCTGAAATCATCCACTCAATGTGCAGCGGCAGTCAAAAAAGCGAACAGAATGTTGGGAATCATCAAGAAAGGGATAGATAATAAGACAGAAAATATCATATTGCCTCTATATAAATCCATGGTACGCTCACACCTCGAATACTGTGTGCAGATGTGGTCGCCCCATCTCAAAAAAGATATATTGGAATTGGACAAGGTTCAGAAAGGGCAACAAAAATGATTAGGGGTATGGAACGGCTTCTGTATGAAGAGAGATTAATAAGACTGGGACTTTTCAGCTTGGAAAAGAGGCGACTAAGGGGGGATATGATAGAAGTCTATAAAATCATGAGTGGTACAGAGAAAGTAAATAAGATTAAGCCTCTGCCCATTTGATGGTGCTGTTAATCTTTGCTCATTTTGTGCATATCCTTCTTCTTCTTTAATCCCTCCTACGAGCTTCACGGTTCTGAGCCATCCCGAAACAGAAGCCACTGCTCTGAAATATAGGAGAAGTTCTATAGGAGATATGGCTTCCCCCTAAATTCTGAGGGAGCATCATTTTGGGCCCCCATCCTGCAAAG